TATGAAGGATTCTGCTAGGCTTCAGCTCCAACCACTTTTTCCCAGTCTGGCCTTTGCAAGTGACAATCGTCACTCCTCCAGCTCTTCATACCCTGCACAGCATCTGCTACTTCAGTTACCTTTCATCTGTTCTTTGGGAGGAGTCTTCTGGGTTGGCCAGTTTTGTGGATGAGAAAACAGGTGCAGGTGGGAAGCAACTTGACAGAAGTCCTGTAGCTTGGAAGTGGCAGAAGCAAGAACTCAGGCCAGTATGTCAAGGCTCTTCCTTCATGTGGCTGTCACTGTGTGGGAGCATCCCTTGCTGCGATGGCTTCTGAAAGTTCCATTTATCTTTTGCCTTTCACTTAATTTAATGTATATTTTTTCTTTGCATTTGAACTGATTATCTATATGGTCTGTGTACTTGTCCTATTGATTGATTTATTTATTAATTCAACCACCATTTACTTAACTCCTAACTTGCAAGAAGCCCTGAGCTAGCTTGACTTCTAGGTCACAGGGCTGAATCAGATGCTCTTGGGCCTTGTCATTGAGGAAAGAGGGTAGATGGTGAAGAGTGTGAACCAGCTGTGGGAGCCCAGAGCAGACTCCTAACCAAGCAGGTCAGGAGAGGCTTATTGAAGCTGGTTCAGGTCCTGAAGGATGAATAGGATATAGTTTTATTCACTTACCATTGACTGTTGGAATGAAATATTAGAATGGGTATTTGCTATGCACGCACTGAATGTCAGTGGTGTGTTATTTACTCCCTAACAGTCTGGCAAGCTGGTTTAGCAGGTTCATGTAACAGCCTTCAACATAAATGGCAGTTTTCTGCTTCCCAGTATTGGGTCACTTATAAATATTTTCATGCTTTTGTCTCTATTTGCTAACAAGAAGCTCTTTCAGAGCATTTTCTTTATATCCATGTGTTTTCTCTTGACTAGCCTCCTTAATTTTTTAAAAACTAAAATATTAGCCAGGCTGTGGTGGTACATGCCTTTGATCCTAGCACTTGGGAAGCAGAGGCAGGAGAATCTCTGTGAGTTCAAGGCCAGCCTGGCCTACAGAGTGAGTTCCAGGACAGCCAAGACTGTTACACAGAGAAACTCTGTCTCAAAAAACAAAACGTACTGAAAAATAATGTTTATCTCTCCAAAAAGATTATTGCCAAATTTTTTGTTTGTTTGTTTTGTTTTTCGAGACAGGGTTTCTCTGTGTAGCTTTGCGCCTTTCCTGGAACTCACTTGGTAGCCCAGGCTGGCCTTGAACTCACAGAGATCCGCCTGGCTCTGCCTCCCGAGTGCTGGGATTAAAGGCGTGCGCCACCACCGCCCGACTGCCAAATTTTATAAATGAAATGAGGTAATTTAGGAAGTCATAATCAGTCAAATTGCACTAGCTGAAGATCAAAACTGGCGTGTTTTAAATTGCAGCTCAGCCAATCCCTTTCTTGCTTTTGGTCTTGATTTTCTCTACTATAAAATGGGGATATGAGGAACTGGAGAGACGACTCAGTGGTGTAGAGCATCTGCTGCTCTTTCAGAGGACCAGAGTTCAGTTCCCAGTAGCCAAGAGAGGTGGCTCACAACTGCCTGTGTCTCCAGGGGAGCTGGGGCTCCTTCTTCTGGCTTCTGTGGGTATTTGCACTTCATGTGTACATACCTTCTCTCTCTCTCTCTCTCTCTCTCTCTCTCACACACACACACACACACACACACACACACACACACACACACAGTTTATTTTTTAAAAGGCATATCTGAGGAAGCACAGACTGAAGGATTTGATAAAATAACAGATTTAGACACTAAAACAGCCATTGGCTCATTAATAAAGATCAGTTCTTCTAATGTAATCTTTAATGTCTATTTTCTTATGTTTCCAAAGTAACTAATAATAATAATAGTATTTATTATTATTATTATTATTATTATTATTATTATTATAGGGTTTCATGCAGTTTAGGCTGGGGTTGACCTTTGAATTTCTAGTCTTATGACTCCACCTCCCATGTGTGTGGTACCACCATACCTGGCCTTAGAGACATTTTTTTTTGTTCCTTTTTTCAAACTCAGATCCTTGAGCACGACTGGTAAACACCTTTCCACCAAGCTGCCATCTGTACAGTCCCCAGAGCAGTTTTAGAAACAAATCTCATACTTGTTCCAAGGCTTCCAGAGACGTTTTGAGATAGGTGCAAAGAGCCCATCCCATGACGAGGACAAATTCACTACAGAGCACAAATCAGAAGGTGACAGGCAAAGGTTAGTGTTCGGACAGTGTCATTTTGACTCTGAGTTTGTTGTCATAGGTCTGGAGAAAGATTCTATATGGTAGAAATAATCTACATAAAAATAAAACTGACAGTGCTAAAGCTCCACGTGGTACAATTTACTATGGCTGGAAAAGCAGACTGAATGGTCCTGTCTTTGTCAATAACACTGAACACGGCAAAGCTGGCCCCCGGGAAAATTCCTTTTCGTAGGAATAATCAACACAATATAAAAGCCAATAGTGGCTGAAATTGCACAAAGGGAAAGGTAGACTTGATGGAAATAATTACTAACAAAGAAATATCATAATTGTTGAAACAATAATCAATAAAAATCAATAAAGAAAAAACGAGCAGTTTGAGGAATCCACTTATCTACTTTGCTTTGTTTTTTGAGACAGGGTTTCTCTGTTGTAGCCCTGGCTGACCTGGAACTCACTCTGTAGACCAGGCTGGCCTCGAAGTCAGAGATTCGCCTGCCTCTGCCTCCTGAGTGCTGGGATTAAAGGCACCAGCCACCATGCTCAGTCTTACTTGTTTTTAGAAAATAGAGAAAAAAAAAGTCTTGGGGCTGGAATGATGGCTCAGTGATTAAAAACACTGCTTGTTCTTCCAGAAGACCTGGGTTCAATTCCCAGAGCCTACACGGTAGCTCACAATTGTCTGTAACTCCCATTCCAGATCTGACACCCTCTTCTGACTTCCAAGGGAACCAGGTCCACATGTGGTGCACATACATATGCAGGAAACAACACTCATAGGCATAATAATAAACAGTTAAAAAAATAAAATCTCATTGTTTTTCTTTTGAGACAGAGTCCATGTAGCACAGGCTGGCCTTGAACTTGCTAGGTAGCTGAAGCTGACCCTGAACTCTGATTCTTTTGTTTCCACTTTCCAACTGCTAGAACCATATACATGTGCTACTACTCCTGGCTTTTATTTTATATTTTCTTCTTCACGGGGAAACCCTGTCTGGAAAAACAAAACAAAAGCAAAAAAGCCAACCAAACAAACAAGAAACCCCAAAGCCTGGGGAGTAAATTCTCTCCTTCCACCTCTTGGGGCAAGGTCTCTCTAGCTTCTGCTAGGGTGCTCGGTGCTCTCGTACTCCAGGCGAGGGGCTCAGGAGCTTCCCGGTGGTTTTCCACCTCTGCTTCCTAAGGGCTGAGCTCACAGGTGCTCACCACCACACATGCTTGCTATGTGGTATGTTCTGGGGATTAAACTTGGGCGTCAGGCTGGCCTAGCTAGTGCCTTTACCCGCTGAGCCCTCTCCCCAGCCCAGAAAAATATTTTTTAAGTGTAAATACATTTTATTCATTTCACAGACAATGGTTTGTGAGGTAGAGTGTTGTGGACCCTTTACAATAATTGTGCTCCCTTATGTTCATTTACCTTGTGCACAATGATCTCTGGCCCACAGATTAGAAACCACCAGGATAAGAATTAAGATATAGCCGGGTGGCGGCGGCGGTATTTTGTCTCAGCAAGCAGAGAAGTAACTAACAGTGCATAACCACTGTTTTTTAAATAGTGGATCTCCTGAGTTTACAGAAAAACACACAGTCCTAAAGCACCATTCAGGAAAACGGCAACCAAGAAAAGTTTCTAGGTGGAAAAGACAGCTTGTTGTATTTGGAGATAATATTTTTTGGAAATAGCAATTCAGGCAATATAAAATAAGAGTAACTTGAAACCTAACAATCCTTTTTCAAAGATAATCACTGATAACATTTTGAAGAATCTCTCTCCTGAAACCGTTATGCTTTTATATCCTTAAACTTCAAATAAATTGAACCTGTCTAATCATGCTGTTTTTGTAATCAGTTTGCCCCTCTGAGAGCAAATTGTGAAGAGCCTTCCATGTCTAAAGACATTTATCAGCATTTTAAATGGCTGCTTAGCACTACGTTGTGTGTATGCATCACCATTTATTGAATCAGCCCATATTGATGGGTATCTACATCCTCCCCACCTCCTATTCAACAACCTCCTCTAATAACCTTGGTCATTTCTTTCTAACATTTTCGATCATTTTTGCAAACTAAATACTTATAAGTAATGTAAATGTAAACAAATGTCCTTTTTACATGAGGATTTAAGTTGCAGAATCGTCCTTTAATTTGCAGGGAAGCCAGTGAGGCAGCTGCTGCGTTAATTCTGGAGAGACAGTGACATCGGAGATGGCGAGGAAGAGTACAGAATTACAGGTGATGTAGCCCATCTAGGCCCAAGCTCTGTGGGCTGGAATAGTCCTTCCCCTTTTCCTCTCTTTCACTTCTTTTTCTTAACATGGAGGAAGGACTGAGAACTGCATGTCCCAGCATTTCGCAAGGACCACACTCCTGGGAACTGTAGTACCGGGTCTGAGAGGGGTCCGGAAGGAGAGGCTGGGCAGCTGTGTGCGGCATGCTGGGAGGTGTAGTCCCTTGGGCGGAAACGAGTGTTTGTATAGGTTGGAGACGAAGAGAGTTTTTCTTCATGGAGATGAGGCTGCAGAAATATCCGACTTCCCTCTCAAGCGGTCTTTGAGTTTACAAAAGTCTTCCGTGGACGGTCGGCTTCATTCCATTGTCTGTGACCCAAGAGGGTGCGGCCCCAGGACCGGCGCGCGGTTGGAAGATGCAGGCCGCGCAGGGCCGCGGCAGAGCATGCCGGGAGTTGTAGTCCAGGGGCTCTGAGGCTGTGGGACGTGTCGGGACGGCGCGCGGGCTCCTCCTCCCCCGCCCTTCTCAGAGGTCCCCCGCCCCCTCCCCCTGCCTCCTCCTCTCTTGCCTGCAGCCGAGCGTCCCCTTCCCCCACTGTCGGGTTTCTCCGCGGCTACTGCAGAGGATTCAGAGCCGAGTAGCTGAGGAGAAGGAGGAGGAGGAGGCTCCCGTCCCTGCGCGCCATCCACCACCCTACTGGACACGGACGAGGGAACGAGAGCGTCGCCGCTGTAGCCTCCGGAGAAGACAAGGGCACCGTCGCCTCAGCTGCCGCCGCCGCCGCCGCGGTTTTCGCTTGCAGCAGCTCTCCGGTGAGGAGACCCCCCGCCCCCCGGCCCGCTCCTGTGGAGCTTGGGCTGGTGGCGCCGGGGAGAATGAGGGTGGGGGCCGTGGGGCCCCCGCGCCGGCCGGGGGGGAGGGGACCGAGGTGGACCGCGATGGAACGGCGGGCTGGTGGGGGAGACTTGTCCGAGCGCGGGCTGGGGGTTGGGTGAGGGTGGGACACCGCAGGTCAAGGGAGGGTAGCGGGGGAGGGGGGGGGCGACCCTACAGGGAGGGATAACCAGACCTGGGACAGGAGCATGGCGTGTGTGGGGTATCGAGGTGGGATTGGGGATTGTCTTGGGGCGAGGTGGAAGGTGAGACTGGAGTGGGATGTCTTTTAATGGGGGAGGGGACTGGATGAAGGTGATGATTTGGGGTTGGCCTGAAGCAGTTGACAGCTTGAGATCGGAGCTGGGGTGGGGGTTAAGGAGATCTTTTAAAATGCGGAGTGGGATCTAAACGTTGGATGGGACTCCGGGGAGTGCTAATTCTGGAAGGTGGGATTTGGGATGGACCTGGGGAAAGCTGATGGAGCTGGTAGGAGCTGGGGGTGAGGGGTTTGGCATGGGTTGAGACCTAAGCTTGAAGTGGGCTGTTGTCTTCTGGGGATGGTGGAATTTGTGAATACTTAAGGAAATAGCTTGGGTTTGGAGAGAACAGAAGAGGTAGAATTTGGGGTTTCCTTGGGGTCGGCTGCTGGAGGTTGGAATATGGGCTGGGAGGGATGAGACTTCCAACTACAGGATGGTAAGCTGACAGGAGGGAGTATTGTAAGCTGGGCCCCAAATAGGAGGGCAGGGATTGAAATTGGTGATGAGAGCACAGTGGAAAAGGATTTAGGGTGAGTTTACAGTCATTGGAGGGAGCAAGGTGGCTCCCCCGGGCGTAAGTTGGAGGCAGAGGGTATGTAAGCCTACTTCCTCAGCTGGACTCGCTGAGAGAATACTGGCAGATGGTGAGCAAGGTTAGGGGATGGTGTCTTAAAGAAAATGTCTCTCTGCCCGTTTTGCAGAAGTAATGTCTGTGATGAGCTGGTTACCTGTGGTGTGGTGGCAGAGGGGAAATTTAAGACATGAAAGACCCAGCGTTTTGGATACGGTTGTTGGGACAGAGGATGGAGAGGGCCAGTGAGCAGTACTGGGAAGAAGTGGGGTGGCTCATTTAGGAAAGGATGTCCTCCAAGACACACTAGAGGTTTAGGGGTTAGAACACTTACATCCATGGTTGCTTTGGTGAGAGACAATAATAATAAGGTCATTAGAAGGGTCTTCCACAGGAGACAGAGCAGGTACATTAAAGATTCTCCTAGGGGATATCTTACGCTGTCAATTTGACCTTTTTGTTTGGTTTATGTTGGTATTGTCCGGAAATAACAGCCCAAGGGTAAAGTTTTGAGAGAACCTTCATTTAAGGTAGAATTAACAGAGAGGGGGGTGTCTGGCAGTTCCTGTGTCATAAAGAGAAACTTGGGGGGTAGGGGGGACTAACTCTCAATGGAAAGGTGGGAAAAGGTGAAATTGTCTCTGCCTTCTCATCCCCCCCCCCCCCCACTGAAAACTAGTTCTGGAATTTGTAATTTAAATGGACTTTGATGAACTTGAGGTTGGTAAGGGTGCATTCTTGCTTGAGAACTGATTAATGATACTGAAAAATACGAAGACTGAATTTATTTTCTAGGCAGGCAAGGTGTGTGTATGCAGAAAGAGGTTAACAAGCCCCACCTCCTCCCAATAAAATTGATTGCTTGAAGACTCTATTTATTGGTGTCCTGGTTTGCAAGGCAATTAGGCCCGTCATTGTATTGCAGACTGATAATCTTGAGATGAGTCTTGGCATTACCACTTTATGTAAACAGAGAGAAGACAGGAAATACGGAAATGTAATAAATATTCATTGGCAAGATGGTTTGGTACTGATGGAGTTGTTCATTCTTTTGACATTACTTGTTAAGATTTAAAATAATTGGGCTGTTTCTATAGATTGAATTTTTTTCTAAAGGAATTCGAGCGATCAGAATTTTGTTAGGTGTGGATAAATGAAGTATATACAACCATATATTACTTTTAAGGGGACGATGTTGATGTAGGCACGTTGCATTAACTATGAACACAATAACTCCATATATTTCATCAGAAATTTGATTTCAAGCTTACAGATGAGTTTATTCTTGTGGTAGAATGCTTGATGGAAGGTGGAGGGGAGTGTAAAGAGAGAGAACAGCTTTAGGGAAGCAGTTTTCTGGGTTTAATTGCATTAACAATGACATGTTAAGCTTGAAGTGGCTGTTGATTAGAGCTCAGTGTGAGGGAAAAGGAGGAGAAATGGAAAGAAGTTAAAATTGATACCAATGGGAATTAAAAAAAATTTTTTTTGTTAAAGCTTTAGTGTTCAACTACAAAACAAACTTGGGTTTCATAATTGAACACATAAAAATGCCCTTATAGAGTCTTAAATTTTTTTTTCTTCCCCCAAAATAGGTGGAGTGATATAGGGGTAGACATCCTTAGAATTGGAAGTGTAGGGTTTTTTGTTTTGTTTTGTTTGTTTGTTTTTGTTTTTTGGATGCTTTCTGTATTCTAATTAAAAAAAAAATCAAGCTTAAGCAGTTGCCTGTAATTCAGTGAGAATGTAATCTAACCAATGAGAGCATTTCTTCTAATAATTTTACTCTGGGGTCCAGACATTGCTTTTGTGAATTTGCTGTTGGGCTGTTCATGTTAAAGCCCCAGTTTTTGGAAGCTCAAAAATGGGAGAACTGTCTTGGTGGATTTGTTTTTCCTATAGTCATGGTTACCTATGCAGTAGTGAAGCAGGTAGGGTGAAAAGTGGAGAACTGGTGGAGGGTTTGGTAGACAGAAACCTGGGGAAAATGAAGAGCCCGTGAATTTAGGAGTCAAGGGTTTTGACTTCAAATTCCAATTCTGAGCCGGGCAGTGGTGACGCACGCCTTTAATCCCAGCTCTCAGGAGGCAGAGGCAGGCGGATCTCTGTGAGTTCGAGACAAGCCTGGGCTACCCAAGTGAGTTCCAGGAAAGGCACAAAGCTACACAGAGAAACCCTGTCTCGAATAAACCAAAAAACAAAACAAAACAGAAACAAACAAACAAACAAACAAAAAAACAAATCCCAATTCTGATTCCAGTATTTGAAAGGGGAATGATTTCAGTAAAGTCATAAAACCCTTTTTCTACTTAGGGGTAATTATTGCACAACATTGTGAATACATTGAAGATCTTGAGTTGTATGTTTAACTGTGGTTAAAATGGCAAAACAAGACATTCATACTTTATGAAGGTTGTCAAAGGAGACAGACGAGGTGAGGCAAGGGAATGTGTTGGCTAACGTGTAGATTCTGAAGCTCACTACTAGTATGTGACCTTGGGCACAATGCGATTATCTGTAAAGTGAGGATAATAAAATTAACCTCATTTGTTTGGTGGGTTAAACAGAATACATTAAGAAAGCATTTAACACAATGTGTTATGTAGTGCATATTAAACCAATATTAGTTTTCATTATCATAGAGAGATGGGCAGAAGCTGGAATGGTGAATGGTTGTTACCCTGCCACTGAATTCTTAGTATTATGGCATTCTTTTGTTTATAAAGTTACTGTTATATTATTTTGAAAACACAATTAATCTACAGTTTGTATGTTTATAGTTTAGGTACTTTAAGCAGTTCATTAAATGTCAAAAAAAGTTAGCTGTTAGCTTCACAATCTAGCAAATAACAACTGTGCTGTTAAGAGTAATAAAATGCTTTTTTAAAGGGATACAGTCAATAAGTAGCAGAGTGTGGGTTATTGCCTAGAATTCTGACTCCCCAACCCTGACCATGTCTTTTTAAATTATGAAATGACTCATATGTATAAAAGTGTATTTAACACAAATCCACAATTTAAAGAATAACCAGTCGAGTCAGGCATGGTGGTGCATACCTTTAATCCCAGCACTCTGGGAGGTGGCAGCAGGCAGATCTCTGAGTCTGGGGCCACCCTGGTTTACAAAGTGAGTTCCAGGACAGCCAGGGCTACACAGAGAAACCCTGTCACAAACCAAACCAAAACGACCCAAGTTGAAGACCTGTGTACTCACTACCTCACTTTATAAAAAGGAGATTTCTAGTGCTTTTGTTACTTAAAGATGGTGTCCTGCTATGTAGCCCAAAAACAATTCTTCTGCCTCAGCCTCCTGAATTCAAGTTACAGGATCAGAGAGGTCTTTGTTTTTGTCACCCTTGCTTCCTGCCTCCACCCCAGATCAAATCTAGGACCTTGAACATGCTAGGCAAAGCTCTCTACCATTGAACTGCATCCCCAGTCAGGGGTTAGTGTTTTAAAGCCTCTTGGGAGGCTGCTCTCCTGCCTGATTAAATCTGTCTTCTTCCTTCTCCCTTAGAAGTAATAACTTTCCTGATTTTTATGTGAACCAACCTTTCTTTTTTTTTCTTTTCTGCCTTACCTTTATTTTTAACTATAAAAAACTATAAAAAGCTTTATCTTTTCTATTGTTAAAATAATACATGTACTTGAAATAAATAGGAAATTACAAAAAAGTAAAAAGGCTAAATTAGTGTGCATCCTTACCATTTAATGCCCTGTTCCTTCTCTCCCTTCAGATCAGAGCTTCCCACAGGTTATGCACTCAAACACTGAGCCCAGTGCCCAAAAAACTTTCTATTGTGCATGTATACAGACACTAAAGCATATGGGTAGTCTAGGTAGCTAGAGGAAGCAAATTTGTCTGTATGGATGATCCAGTTACCCAATCATAGTTGGAAATAGAATGACAAGGTAGTAGTGGTGGAAGTCGTGTGTGAGCTCTGAAAGAGCACTGTTTTGGAGTCTTCCATTGGCAGGAATTTAGATGTCCTAGGTTCTAATTCCTTGCTATATTAATTTGAAGCTTCTTGTCATGTTTTGGCAAACTTTTTTTTTTTTTTTTTAATGAGACAGTGTCTCCATTTTAAGTGACATGAACTTGCTG